TTTCTCCCTACATTACTTCTATATAACACAGATGGTATCTCCTGGTTTCAGTGTTGGCTTCTCCTTAACACTGAATTTGGCTAGGTAGTACACACCTTTCTTTACCTGTTGGGTTGTCTTGTCAGTTCTGAACTTGAGAAACTTTATAGTATCAAATTATGGAACACCATATCATCATTATCATTACTCAACACCTCTCTCTCAAAATCTTCATGGCATCTTTGATTGTATAATAACACATTATACTTGAGGCCAGTCTGGTTTACAGAGCAAGTTCCAGGACAGACTTCAAAGCTACACAGAGAAACCCTTTCTTGAATAACCAAAATTGATGATGATGATGATGATGATGATGATGATGATGATGATGATAATGGTGATGCTTATACATGGCATCAAGGAAGGAATCTAAAAAATTCTGTAGCATTAAAAATGAATTAGATACTGGGTTACAAATCCATAGATTGGTCAACTTCTTGTCCAATTCGCTTATTATAGCTATGCTTTTGAAACAGTTTTGGATATACATAAAGGCTGCAGGAAGGCACAAAGAGCCCTAGTTACTTGGTGCCCCGTGTTGAATCTCCAATAATTACCATTCCCTGGAAGTTGACACAATTGACCACTCCTCATACTCCCTGGTGTTTTTCCTAAGCTCAAGGGCACTGCCCTGCATGACTACTGGGCAGCCATCAAAACTAAGAAATACACACTGGTCCATTTCCACTAAGACAGGCCTGTCTTCCCAAAGATGCCCTTTATGCTAATGGCACAATCCAGAATCACATGTGTTTAGTTTTGGGGTCTCCTTGGGCAGATCCTTATCTTCCTGATCTTGAGTTTTTCTCAAAAGCAAAGGCAAAAGTTATCTTCATAGACTATTCCTTTGTGGGGGGTTGATGCTGCCTTCTGATTTATGTACTTTTTAAGGGTTAGCACAAAAACGATGCTATGTTTGGTACTCCCTAACTGGGCAGATAGTATTGATTTGCCCAATAATCTGGAGTTTAGTCATTTGGTACCTGGATAGAGGTTGCATTTTTCTAGGTTACTCCATCCAAAAGTTAATTAGTAGGAGTGCAATAAAATCAATACATTATGTGTAAGTGCCTTATGGGGAATATTTTAAGGCTGCATTAGATCAATGAACTCCCATTCTTAACAGCCATTATGCTTTGTGATGTCACCAAATTAATACACATGAAAGTACTGTTTCTAGAGGATACATGGGGTTGGTTCTATCACATTGTGTTCAACAGCTCATCCGTACTTCATTTTATGTCTAAATGTCTGTATGTAATGGATGCTGTTGGTTTTTTAACTTAGACATCATGCCAAATGCTTATAATTCATCGCCAACAAAAACATAAGGAGAAAGCTGTGACAGACTATTGTGACAAAGACCCACTTTTACTATGCCAGAGCTGCAAGAAGGCAGAATGTGTTCTCCACCTCTGCTAGGAAAGGAGAGGGTGATGACTCAAGGTTTTGCTTCTCTGTGTGGTTGTGAAACTGCTTCAAACATTAATTTTTGGCTTACAAATAAACTTCAGCAAATAGCTAAATTGACCAGTATGAAATGTACAAATAATGAGGATTGAATGTCTCTTGTTTCTGTCTGGTTTTCACATAGTTCTTTTAGCATCCATCAATCTCAAAGTTGGGGAATCTGTCCATTGAAGTGATTTTTTTCACTCTCTTCTTCAGTAAGATCTTTCTGAGCTCATTTTGTTCTTTCTGTCTTCCAACTCTGAGGTCATGTCAGACATTTCTTGGTTTCTTAGAGCAGAAAATGACTTTTAGAAACCAAGAACTATGTGCTGGGTAGGCTCATTCTTACAGGGGTATCATTATGTCAAAATTCTGTTTGCAACAATTCTAGGAAATAATATGTACGCACCCAAACACATGTATACACTTGTGTGTATGTATACCTCTGTTACCTGTCAATCATCCTATAATATCTTTTATCTACCCGTTTTATATCACTTGCCATTCAATTTGTTCTATTGTAACTATCAGCCATCTTTCTATAATATCTACCTATCTGTCTGGCTGTCTATCTATCCATCTATTATCATCTAATGTATTTCTCATTTTTCTATGTATCTGTTCATCTAATTGGTTCATATGAGTACCTTCAGTTCTAATTTACTATCTGGTCCTTTTTCCCATGCTTCTAACTCCTTTTCCATCAGTTAATGATCTGATTTCCAGCACTCTTCAATGCAATTATTAGTGCAGTCCCTATATGTAAAAAAGCACTCAGTTTCACCATCCCAAAATTTAGCTCTAAATTCTTTGGCTCCTTCAGGGCATTTGGCAGAAAACTAAGCCCCAGTTAATGGATGTGGAGGGTGAAAGATTTATTGGAAGTCTGAACTTTGTTGATTCTTCTAAAGTAACAACTAACTTTGGTTGTATTTATGCATTTTAACACTAATCTTTTAATGAAATGAGGGAACGCTCGTATATATTTTTCTTACACTTGATGCTAGAAGACAGTTTTACAAAACCAAATGTCTCTAGAAGAAAAACTAATGTAGGGACTGGAGAGATGGCTCAGTGGGTTGTGAGAGTATACAGATCTTGCGGAGGACTAGCATTTGCTTCCAAGTACCTGTGCTAACAAGTGCCTATAACTCCAGCTCCAAGGGATCCTGATAACTCTGGTCTCCAAGGACACTTGTGTATATACCTACGTATAGATACGCACACATACACATAATTAAAAATATATTATAAAAAGAAAAACCAATTTGAGGTGATGAATATAGCCTAAAATATTTGTGTGATACAAATATTATCATTTTGTGTTTTAAACTTTTCCTCTTTTCCCAGATGTTTTAGATTCAATATTTTGCCTTTTAGTATGCCTACTAAACTTAATTAGAATCTTTGAATATTGATAATCTCAACTACCAACTTTGAAATTTTGGATGTGACATTTTAATTTAACATTCACAGGAAAAACTCTGAAATGCTTTGGTTGTTTTTCTCTGGTGTGTTTATCCACATTAAAGGTCAACTCTGCATGTTAGCTTTCCCCTTAAAGTCTTAAACCTCACAAAGTTAGGTAAGACTCAGAAAATTACATTTAATTGCATTTTGAAATGACGTGAGCTAATATTTTCTACTTCCTAAGTTTTAGTTTCTGGTAAGTGGGAGGATATGAATTATAGTGTTAATAAAAGTTGGCTAATTATAACGAATTGGCTTTACTAAGTTGTAACATAAGTGTTTTCCAAGATGATCCTCTCCATGGGGCACAACAATTATGCAAATGTGTATCCATTCATTCTTTAAAAATGAAAAATACAGAAATTGATAGGATATAGAACTCTGTTTAATTCCCCCCTCAACCTTTGTTATGGTTGTGCAAGTTAAGTCCTTAAGAATTTAGTATTAGTGTATTAAGAAGTCAACATTTGATCTCCTATGAATGCATTCTTTTGACTCGTTTAATTTTTACTCAAATATGACTATATGCACACATTTGTGTGTGTTTCTGTAACTTTATTTACTTATCAATATAATACTTTTTTGTAATTCTTTTTTTAAATTTAGCCCTGTACCCCATTTTTACTTTTTGTAATTCTTTTGGGCAAGCACAAACAGCTGTTTCGTTTTTTAAATAATTATTTACTTTTATGTATATGAGTACTCCATCTGCATATATAATTTTATGTCAGAAGAGGGTATCAGATCCCACTATAGATAGTTGTGAACCACCATGCGGTTGCTGGGAATTGAACTCAGAACCTCTGGAAGAGCAGCCAATGCTCTTAACCACTGAGCCATCTCTTCAGCCCACAGCTGTTTCATTTTTAACGACCACCTCATATTGAATTATATGGCTATCACATAATTTGTTTGAACATTTCCCGTCCATAGCCATTTAACAATCCCACATTTTACATTATAAATGATGTTGTATCTGTAGCATGTTCTGTTAATTAAACGCCTAGACCTAAGATGAGTCTTCCTCCCTGAGATGCTGAGCCTCATTTCTGGGCTCTTTTACCTTAGGATATCATGACCTTTTGTTCTTCAGTTTTAAGTACCTTCAAGTGCCTGACCCGATGTTCTCATTCCTTGCAGTTTCTTTAGCTGTGATTATTTCCTGTTTTATAAACAAGGCTGAAAGATCAGATGTACAACATCAACATCACCTACCCGTTGCTCTGTTTTGGGCATCTGCAGTGTGGGACCAAAGACATGCCAACTCTGAAATGCATCTTGGACTTAAGAGATGGCTCAACTGTAAAGAGAGCCTGCTGCTTTTCCTGACTCACAATCAGCAGTAACTCCAAGCCAGAGGGTTACTACCCTTTTCTGGCTTCCTAGGGCACCCACATACCCTTATACATACAAGAACAAACTCTCTCTTTTACATATATACACAAAGAGTAAATAATAAATCAAAATTTAAAAAAGAGAAATGCATCTTCTCAGGATAGTGGTAACTGGGTGGACTGGAAATTATAATGTAGGATTAGAATACAGGTAATTTTCATATTAAAGAACCTTTAGGATCTTAACAGAAAATGTATTTTAATTAATGAAAATGCAAATAATTTATTGTCTGGATGCTGTTTATGAATACATTTGTGTTTGGTTATGATTTTAGGTGCTATTTCCTTCATTATCCTGACTGAGAATTAAAAAACCCAACTCTAAGAATGGGGAAGGTTTCAAATGTCATCAGAAGTGGGCTGTGCTGGCTCACGCCTTTAATCCCAGCACTCAGAAAGCAGAGGCAGTGGGATCTCTGAGTTCAAGGCCAGCCTGGTCTACAGAGTAAGTTCCAGGACAGTCAGGGCTACACGGGGCTACCTTCTCTGAAAAAAACCAAAACAGAAAAAGGAGGGAAGCATCATGAGAGCTTCTTGTCTGTTGTCGGAGACTATTTTCAGTTCATGAGAAAAAAAAAGTTCAGTTTTCTTTTGTTTTCCATCCATTGTTTATAACATTCATGTATCATTTTTGTCATTTTGTAGACCTACCAAGAGCAGCTGTCAGGATCTTAAGCAACATGACATTCCTTTTTGTGAGTTTGTCATACACAGCTGAGAGTGCCATTGTCACTGCTTTCATTACCTTCATCCCCAAGTTCATCGAGTCACAGTTTGGTATCCCAGCTTCCAATGCCAGCATCTACACTGGTAAGGTACTGCCACAGGGCTCCTTGAAACATGGTCATTGTGTCCATAGACTGAACCGAGTGATTGGGGAGGAAAGCCAGGCAACACCGAGTGTTCACCAAGTGTGCTTCCAGCTCCTGGTGCCTCCGAGCTTGTGAGGAAAGCCAGGCAGTGCTTCCCAAGACTCCGGTTATATTCATGTGTTATATTTACTAACTGTGCTTTGAAAGGGGACAATATTGCATATTTATGACTTTTGTGGACCTCAGGTAAAAAAAAATAAAATCAGCAGTGAGATTCACATTAAGATGAGTGCTGATCTTCTTGTGGGTTAAAATGGATCTTAAATGTTGTGAAATAGATGATGTCAAATCCACGTTAGTTCCACAGTGTCAGGATTTTCCATTCACAAACCTGGAGATAGAATTACTGGAGATGCATGACACTTAAAGGGATGTTTTATGTATTTGATTTAGGATGTTTTATGTCTAGTCCAGCTGAGTTTTTAGAAGTCTTAGGTATGTTTACTTGCAGGACTTAGCACTCAAACCTTATTTGATAGTAAATATGATACTTAGTAATGTGGGAAAACTAATTCTCAGATATTGGGGGAATTACATTGTTATGTCATATTCTAAAACTTCCTTAATGATTTTAAAGATGGCCAATCTACAGAAAGCTTAATTTTTCAATAAGGGATAATTAAATATTTTTGAATAAAAGATTTTCACGTAGCTTGGTTTCCTACCTTTTCCTATTTCTACATTAAAACCCAGCAAGCTTGAATTATCTAAAGATGAACAGAAAAAAAAAACACTGTAAAAAGAGCAATTGACTTGAAATATCTGTTTGCTTGTCTGTTTGTTTCACTATGTCTATAGAAAGGCATAAAGACCGGCTGTGTGTCCACAGTTGTAAATTGTTTAACAAATAATATATTGCTGTGGACTACTGTAATTTGTGAGTCAAAAAGTGTTTGCTCTCTCTTGCTCTCAAAACTGCTTTCCGGCGTCACTGTGACAGCCACAGATCATGTTTCTGTCAGGTTGGTTAACAGCAAACGGAGGCCCCTGTTTTTAGTCTAACTCTTACACTGGCCTTCAATGAACAGTGATTGCTGGACCAGGGAACCAGGAGTTGTTGGGAGTACATTCAAAAGCTAGAATACTTTCCTAGTTCCCCATGCGAGGTTTCAGTATGTGAAGGTGTGAAGAGGAAGCAGGGGCTGGCTGTGTTAAAGAAAGTGTTACAGGGTTCTCACTGCATCCCCTCTTTTTCAGTCACCTTCCCTATGTCAGCTCGCACTGGGAGACTCCCAGAGGGAGACGCAGACCATGATTTTCTCCAGGCTTGTTTGACTATGAAACTCAACCTTTTATTTACCCATCATGATATCATTGATATTTGTGTGTGTGTGTATGTGTGTGTGTGTGTGTGTGTGTGTGTGTGAGAGAGAGAGAGAGAGAGAGAGAGAGAGAGAGAGAGAGAGAGAGAGAGAGAGAGAGAGATGGTCTCAGTATTTTATTTCATCTATTTTGAAACTGATCTCACTATGCAGCCTAGGATGGCCTGGAACTCATGATCTCACTGTCTCAGCCTCTACACGCAGAGATTATCTATGTGAGCTGTCACATCTCACAGAAACCTCTTTCCAATAAACAGTTTTCGTTTGGTTAAATGAAGGAATCCAGTCGTGTGAGTCCCTATTCCAACTGCACTAGCAAGTCCAGAGCAGTCTAGGTAATCCCATGGCCCTCCATGTCTACCGTTTACTCTCCAAGTCTCCAGGGCAGGTTGCAGCTGAAGTGAATTGGATGCAGATTGATGGGACTGTCTCTTAAGTACCGGTAGGGAAGAGGCTAGCTAGACAATTCTATGAGGAAAACCAGTGGGAGAAGTTGAGTGTGAGCTGGAGGTTGGGTATGCAGCTTCCCAGCAGCAGGGTGGAGACACTCCTCTAAATGAGGCTAGCTCACAGAGGCTGTTTCCTCTTTAGCCCGCACTATAACTCCAGGGTGAGAGAAGGCACGCGACTAAGCACGATTCCATTCTGGTTGCAGCATCCACCAAGACCCATCCTTTGTCACCAGCAGTTCTCTGTTTCAAAACCACAGCCAGGCCGGGCGGTGGTGGCGCACGCCTTTAATCCCAGCACTCGGGAGGCAGAGGCAGGCGGATCTCTGTGAGTTCGAGGCCGGGCTGGACCGATAGCCTCCGAAGCAATACAGAGAAACCCTATCTCATAAACCAAAAACAAAACAAAACAAACAAACAAACAAACAAACAAAAACCACAGCCAGTGCTTGTCACAGTGTCACAGTCTACTGGGCTTTCCAATGGCTCGAGTACTCTCTCTTGCCTATTGTCATTTGATTCGCAGACAAGAAGTAAATTCAAGAACAATTCAGGTTAGGCAAGAGCAGAGGGTGCCTCATTAAGTTACAGTGAGATTAAAAGCATAATAACTTCTTTAAAACTCTTCTTGGACTTTTGCCTTGTCATCAGTCAGTTCCTTCTTACCCTCTGAACACAGTTTTTAATCGTTAAAAAAGACTGAGAATTTTTTTGTTCTCTGAGTCCTTCCTATAATGCAGATTGAAATGGAGATTACATAGTGTTAATTTCTGTTTTTTTGTCTTTTTTATTACTTTAATTTTAAATAGCTTGCTTCACATGCCTCCTCTCCCTCCCTTCCTCCCACAGCCCCCCCCACCATCCCCCCAGCCTCCCACCCTATCCCCACTTCCTTCCACATAGGGGATCTCCAGAGTCTGTCATTTCACTCAGGGCAGGGTCCAGGCACTCCCCCTAAGAGTCCAGGCTGAGAGAACATCCCTCTTTGTGTTATAAACACATAAAGTCCGTTTGTATGCCAGGGATAAACACTGATCTACTGCCCAGGACCCCATAGGTTGCCCAGGCCTCCTCACTGACTCTCACACTCAGGGGGTCTGGATCAGTCCCATGCTGGCCTCCCAGCTGTCAGTCTGGGGTCCAAGAGCTCCCGCTTGTTCAGATCAGCTGTCTCTGCTGGTTTCGCCAGCCCATTCTTTGCCCATTTGCTCATCACTCCTCTCTCTCTCTGTCACTGGGTTACATGGGTTCAGTTCAGTGTGTAGCTGTGGGTGTTTGCCTCTGGAAGCAGTCACTGGATGAAGGTTCTAGGATGGCATATAAGGTAGATGTCAAGTTCATTATCAGGAATGGGTATTTAAGGTAGTCTCTCCACTATTGCTTAGCTTGCCAGTTGGTGTCAACCCTTTAGATCACTGGTGCCAGATCTGTCTTCAAACCTATGACTCCCTCTATTATAGTATTTCTCATCCTGTTCTTCCCCTATTCTACCCCCCACTCAACCTTCCTGTTCCCCCATGGCCTACTCTCTCCTCCTCTTCTCCACCTTTTTTCTTCCCAGTTCCCATTCCTGCCACACCTCCCATGTTCCAAATCTATTCAGGAGATCTTGCTCGTTCCTCTTCTCTGGGGTACCATGCATAGTGTTAATTTCTTACCTGACAAACTTTTAAAATTTAAGTTATTTTTTCCTTTTTTTAAATTGATTGAACCCAGGGCATCATGTATGCTGGAATGCTCTCCATCACTGAGCTACACTCCAGACTTATCATTTAGTTTTGAAAAATTATTTGGGTAATTATCTCAGACCAAGCAATTTCTTTCTTTCTTTCTTTCTTTCTTTTTTTTTTTTTTTTTTTTTTTTTTTTTGGTTTCTCTGTATTGTTTTGGAGGCTGTCCTGGAACTCGCTCTTCATGATGTAGCCGCCATAGGGTAAATACTTAAGTCAGAGATAGCCAGTAAGAAATCAAGCAAATGGCCAACAGCTTTATAATTAATAAAGCCTCCCGTGTGTTCATTTGGGACTGATGTGGCTCTGGAACCAGGCTGGCAGGAAGGCTTTACCCAACACGCTCTGTAGACCAGGCTGGCCTCAAACTCACAGAGATCCGCCTGCCTCTGCCTCCCGAGTGCTGGGATTAAAGGTGTGCGCCACCAACGCATGGCTTAGACCAAGCAATTCCCTGTGCTGTTATTGGGTCAAAAAAAAAAAAATGTTCCAGAAACAAGCCAGAAGCTGAGTCTTCGAACACTGGCTCATTAATGTTGTCACTCTGCACAAGAATTGCCATTTTACACAAGTGTTGTCATTCCACACCAGCACTGTACAGGGCTCTGTGCCTTGGAGAGGACAGAGAATTATAAATACCCAAATCAGGGTTCCATTGCTTATGGATCTGACTGGAGACACAAAACTTTAGGAACTAGGTTAGGAAAAGCTGCCCAGGAATGGATTGTGAATAATGGTAACTACAGGTAACAGTTAATACATACTTGAATATTGCACAAAGGAAAATTTATATGTTCTCATTACACCATGGACTGATGGGTATGATAATTTATTTAATAATTTTACAATTTACATATACATGGGCACATCACATTGTATCCCATATATAATTTCTGTCAATTAAAATTAAATCATTAAAAATAGAACTCCTCCAGGATGCTTTGACAATAGAAGAATTGGCTCCAGAGGTTATTTTGGCTGGTAGGGTAATGGTGTTTAAGTTGTTTTCATGGCAAAAATACCTTTTTTTCCCTACTTTTTGTTTTTGAGCTGTGCATTTTTCTCCACTACCTGCCCCTCCTCCCCTCTGCCTTTCCACCCTCCTCCTGCTCCTCTCACTCCCAATTTATCAGGAAATCTTGTCTTTTTCCCCTTCCTAGGCAGATCTATGTATGTCGCTTTTAGGGTCCTCTTTGTTACCTAGCTTTTCTGGCTTGTAAGGCCTGTAGCCTGGTTGTCCTTGCTTTATGTCTAATATTCACTTATGAGTGAGTACATATTATATTTGTCTTTCTAAGTCTGGGTTACCTCACTCAGGTCGGCTTTTTCTAGTTTCATCCATTTGCCTGTAAATTTCAAGATGTCATTGTTTTTTTTTTTTTTTTTTTTTACTGCTGAGTAGTACTCCATTGTGTAAATGTACTACATTTTCTTTAT